TCCATGGTCTGTGTTCCATCTCCAGCAATTACAAGTTGCATTCCTCATCAGATTTAGCTCCTACACCAAGCTGGCATTTATCTGGGTGGAGAAATGTAAACAGTGGGCACTCTGGGAATGGAGCTGTGTCTTTTTTTTTGTTTTTTGTTTTTCTTTTTTTTGAAATGAGCCGAAAGAGAGGGCACTGTGTAAGTTTGCAAATAAAATCCCAAGTTAAGTGAAATATCTGCAGGAAGAGTTTTTATATATGAGAGAATTGACAGAAATATGAATGCCAGCTGGGACAAGGACATTTGTAGAATGATAGAGGGAGAACTCACTTTATAGTGAGTGGCAATTTAACCTAGTGGCTAGGTACATCGGCTCTGGACCCAGACTGCCTGAATTCAAATCCACCACTTAGTAACTGTATGACCTTGGAGAGGTTACTTAATTACTCAGTGCCTCAGTTTCTCCATCTATAAAACAGGAGCAACAATTGTATCTACCTCATAGGCTTGTTGCGAAGATGAAAGGAAACTGTATACATAACACGCATAAAGCAATGTCTGGCATATCTTAATAAATGCTAGTTATTATTATTCTGTAAGACATCACCTGTGTGCCAACAAGACCAGCAAGATGCAGGACTGACACTACAAGGGTATTGTATTCTTTTCCTTATGAAAAAATCCAATACATTTCATCTTTGACTTTGGAATGTGTGTGTATTGGCTGGAACAAAAAGGAAATCCATAAAAGGGCTACTCAAGATGGGCAGAGAGGGGCTTTCATATAAGGAGGAAAAATAGTTTGGACTCTGATCTGGAAAAGTGAAGACTGAGACGCACTATGTTGAGTTTTATGAAAGACAGGAATAGTATGAATAATAACTTGTTTATGAAATACTGGGAAATTAGAGCTGGCATGCAAGATGAATACTTTTAGGTGAGTACTTGAACAGATGGTTACTTGACTGTACTTGCACAGTGAGTGGTTCAGTTGTGTAGCTCATTAGCACAGGAGTTTCAGTCTGGTGAAGACTGTGGGTTATGGTCCCTTAACTATTAAGGGTAGTTAGGGATGTTTGTGATAAAGCCCTACTTTAGTCCAGTTTCAACATTTGTAAATAGATTATATTAATATAGTACTTTACAAAACATTTTAAGATCCTTAACTTATTTGATTCCCACAATAACTGTTTATTGAGTTTTACCATGGGCAAGCCTCTGCCGGAAATCAAAGGATGAGAAAGATGGGTTGTGTTTCTGATCTGTGTCATCAGAAATATTGTATTTAAATTAATTTAGTAGCCAGGCTTGGTGGCTCAGCCTGTAATCTCGCGCCTTTGGGAGGCTGAGGTGAGTGGATTGCCTGAGCCCGCGGGTTCGTGACCCGCCTGGGCAACTTGGCGAGACCTCATCTCTACAATAAAATCAAAAATTAGCTGGGCGTGGTAGTGCGCGCCTGTAGTTCCAGCTACTTGGAAGGCTGAGGCGAAAGGATTGCCGGAGCCCAGCAGGTCGAGGCTGTGGTGGCCGGGAGTGGCCACTGCACTCCAGTCTGGGCGACAGAGTGAGACTCTAACTCCAAAAAAACAAAACAAAACAAAACAAAACAAAATTACTTTAGTTTGAGGACATAATGCATTTGATTCACTTTTACTTATTATGTTTTGAGATAAGACACTATTTAGGGTTTAGTATTATAGGAGCTCAGGACTGGTTTTGTGAAGAAAAGCTAAAGAAATAAAAGTTCTCTTTTTGTTATTGTTTTGTTTTTGTAATTCTACTCAGGCTACCCTCTGAAGTCAGTAGAAAAGTTTATTTTTAAATTTATTTTTTAGAGTATCTGTTCATAAATAGCAATTTTTGAGTTAGAAGTTAATTTCATGATCATCTTCAATTCTTCCTTTCCCAGATGAAGGAGATGGGCCTCCAAGAATTTAGGTGACATGCTCAAGGTGGTAGCTGGCCACGGTGGCTCATGCCTATAATCCCAGCACTTTGGGAGGTGGAGGTGAGAAGGTTGCCTGAGCCCAGGGGTTCAGGACCAGCCCGGGTAACTTGATGAGACCTTGTCTCTACAATATGTTAAATAATTAGCCAGGCATGGTGGGGCGTGCCTGTAGTTCCAGCTACTTTGGAAGACTGAGGTGGAAGGATCGCCTGAACCCAGTAGGTTGAGGCTACAGGGGCCGTGAGAATGACACTGTACTCCAGCCTGAGTGACAGAGTGAGACTCCAACTCAAAAACAAAAACACAAAACAAAAGAAAACAAGACGGCAAAGCTTGGATGGAAGCCTAGGTTCTAGTCTTCTGTGTTTTCTTTCCTATCCGGTTGCCTCCCCCGAGAGGATCAGGATAATTGTAGCTCAGCTTATTTCTGTGTACACACAGGCTGAAATGAGTAATGTTTTATCTCAGAGTACCCAGAAGCAGATTTACCATGAAGCCAGTGAAGCTTCAGCCTCATGGCCCCTCACTTGTAGGAACTTTGGAGTAGGGAGAGGAAACCAGGTTGCAGTCAGCAAACGTTTTGTAAGCATTTCTGCTCAGTGATGTAAGGAGACACTACAAGTAATGGATTTGACTCTCCAAGACACCAGTAATTTCCTTATGGGTTTTTCACCTTCTGGAAAGAAATGAAACTCACTTTTGTACCTAATTTTATATTTGTAATTTTTTTTTTAAAAGTACTCTCCCCTAGTCCAAGATTATAACAATTTCTGGCTCCATTAAACCTGAATTTGCTTCTGATGTCCAGACATACAATCAGTTGGAAATTATTTTAAAATTTTGAATATATTTAAATTACTTTTATGTTTATATTTTATGAAGTTAATTCTAATTTTTATTACAATAATAAAATTTTAAAATATGTTTTAAACAAAAAATGACAGTTCATTGTCTTAGCATTTCCCTCCATTTGCTCTCCAGAGTCAAACACTTTTAATTCCTTTAGATGTTTTCTCTTCATGTTTACTTCTATATTGTTTCTTAATAACTTACTTTCTTAATTGATTGACTTTAGACATTATATATTGGGTTCCTGTAATGGTAGTTAAGAGTTTGAGTTTGTTAATCTATTCCTTCTTTCTCTTCCCAATTCCCCAAAATAGTTAAGTCACAATTTTTGGTTATTTTTATAGTCAGTATTTACAGTAAGTGTATAAATATTCACAACAAAGGCAATTTTTATTATCATATGGTAGCCTTTCTTGTATAACTTTTTGCTTGTCCTAGAGTTAATAGCTATTTTTCTTTTGCTTAGTTTTCTGTGTATCTACCTGAATTCACTGCCTTTCCTTTCTTTTTGTATAACTTTTTGTTTCTCCCAGAGTTCATAATTGCTTTCTTTTTCTCTTTACTTCATTTTCTGTGTATCTAGCCAGACACATCATCAGAACTGCCAAGTATCTATCCTATCAATGTTATTTTTGAAAAGGATCAAGCATATCAGATAAGCTACTGGTCTTCTTTCCCTCTTTTTTCCCTAGAGATCTCTCTTCCATAATTCTTTATCCTCCTGCTCCAATATAGACTGATTTTTTTCTCATGTCTGAAAACTTTATAATAATAAGCCATTGTTGAGGATGTTTAGTGAGGGTGACACTCAGTGGGGTCTTTCTATAACCTAGGGAATTGTCTACTCATTATAAGCAATTTTATATAAGCACATTTTGACAGTATACTTTACTTGCCTAATGCCATAGAAGGGTTGCCTTCATTTTCTAGTTGACTAGGTTTTCATAGTAGGGTAAAGGAAAAATGGATAAAGTAATATATATCTGGATGCAGCAGTGGCTAGTGGTTAAAAGTGGAATTTGCTGATATGTAATTCAAATCTTATTTCTTTACATGTAAGTTAACCATAGGGTGAGTTTCCTGAATTTTGAATTCTAGATATTTACTATTAATATACTCCCATACAATTTCTTATTATTTTCATACTCAAAGTGGCATTTGTCCCAATGAAATCTAGCTTTAATGTAGATGTTAAATATAATTTTAAAACAAATGATGTATTTTCAAAACATGCTAAAAATTGTTTTACCCATTGTTCTTTATTAGCTGCATTAGATTACATAAAAATGGGGAATTAACTCCACTAGTTCCAATAGCAGCTCTTTCCCCCCAGTACTTTACAAATACAGGATATTTAGTTATTATTATTTTTTACCATATGCTTTCGAAGTAAGCCAATAGCATTATTTCACTTTGCTAAAATAGGAACTAAGGCCATTGTAATTCAAGGAGGATTAGTCTTTTCCTGGATAATCCACCACATAAATCAAGGAAGATGCTGATTTTTTAGAGAAGGAGAATTTTTTTCAGTGTGTTTCACTGTATTTTAATCCCATTCCTTTGTGAGATTGTTGCAACTCAAGTGGTATGCTGTTCGATTGAATTCTTATAGAACATGGCTCTATATTTTTATTTGATTGATTTTTTATTTCCTGAGAATATCACCAGAAGAAAAAATGTTTCAAAATCCTTAAGATCTTGTTACCCTGGTAACTTTACAAGAGAGATTACATATGTATGATCAAATCCTTTTCTCCAAATACACTGCTCCTGAAATGCCCCTGGTCTCTGCCTAGACCTGTAGTTTTGAAGCAATTGCACATCTCAGGATGCACCACCCCCTCACCCTTCCTTTTCTGTCTCCATCAGTATTGTTCACTGAGAGTTGTGGACAGACATAGGAGTGGTGAATCCCTGGGACGGGAGTAGTGTGCCCTGTTAGCCCGAGTTGTTTTTTCCCAGTTAAGGAATTGGATGGTGGGTTCACGCTGAGAGAAGGGCGGGGGCAGAAAAACATCAACCAAAGATTATGGCAGCATTATGACATTTCCTCTGCACTTTTGGATCTCTTAAAATGAATTATCTTTCTATTCACATGTGTTGTGTGAGGGGTTTCTTGGCACTTGAATTATATTGCATTACTGGAAGCTTATCAAAAATAAATGCATTTACTCAGTCAATTGACTATGAACACTTTTGGTTTGTTTCCTCAGTTAGATTCCACATCATTTCTCTCTGAGGAACAGTTAAAGTATCTTCTGGATAAATGCACATTCAAACAAAAATCCGTCTTTAGACTTTCTTCAGAAAGAGGAAGTGAAGACACTGAGGATGTAACACCTGAGTGCCCTCAGCGTTCCAGATCCATCGTCTCTAAGTTACCAAATGAGCCAGAAACAAACGTCCAGAAAGCTGAGGTAGACAATGCAAATATGCTTGAGATTGCAGACTGTGAAGCTTCTAAATGCTACTATCTTTCCAAAGCCTTGACTGGGCACTATATGTCAGAAGCTCTTGTCATTGATGCAGAAAATACGAAATGCCTTCAGTTTTCCAAGGATGAAATTGCTAGTGACACAGAAGACTATTTTATGTCGAAGACTCTTGGCATTGGGAGACTGAAAAGGCCCTCTTTCTTGGATGATCCACTGTATGGTATCAGTGTGAGCCTTTCATCAGAAGACCCACATCTGAAACTTAGCTCTCCAGAGAGACTAAAAACAGGTAAAGTTTGGAGAACATGTGTTTTGATGAATACATCTTTTTTTTTTTGAAATAATGAAAATATTTATTGTTGAAAACCCAAAGTTAAAATGGGTAACAGATTGTAAAGCAACATATGCATCTTTCCAAAAGTAGGAGAGTTTTCATTCAATGGTTTTTCACGGTGGGTTTTTCAGAAGCTTGGGTTGATGGTTTTTTTAATAACAAAATTAGACTCTGAATTAACCCAATTTAACTCAGTTGTGTACTTTGTAAGCACTCTTTTGTGACTGATAACAGAAAGGAGCAGTGATAAAGGCAGATTGGCAGAAATAAGGAAGACCTAGTCAAATGCCAAAGCACCACTGTCTCCTCGATCCTTGCATCTGTTGGTGGTAGCACGCTACTCAATTAATTGCGGGCATGAATCAGGCCCAGCTGAATGGGAGCGCTGGTTCTACCACTTATCAGCCGTGTGGCCTCAGGGAATTTAATTTATGTGAATATCAGCTTAATCGTCTACAAATTGAAGGAAAACTGCCTACCTACGGGCTGCTGTGGATATTAAATGTTACGTGTGTGTATCAGCCCAATTGAAGGAAAATTCTTCATAAAGAGCTACTTTGTGGTAGCTGCAGCAGATCACCTTCTCTTTATAAAGATATTATGACTTAAATTGCAGTAGGATAAGAAGGTATGTTTGTAAGTCACAGATGGTGTCAATAAGAGCCTGCGAGCATAGCATATTTATTAATGTTCTTATGAAGTCAAGGTTGAGGTTAGTACTCTTATGGCATACATGATTCTGGATTGTAATTAATGCTATCATCCAGAAAACAATGTTGATTTCAGAGGAAAAGATAAATTAGTTTGAATGGAGATAAAAAATGTGAATTGATTTGCTTTGTATTTTAACTTCAAACTTTATTAATTTCAAACTTCAATGATGAAAATATCTTCTAAGAAATAAATTTAAAGTGTAAAATGCCATAACTCATTGTGGCATTGTGCATATATTAGTTTCTATATGTAAACTTCCTATCCCAGCCCACTCCTGTATTTTCAAGTATTTTGTCATGATCCAGTATTGTGTCTTTCAGTAGTACAGTAGTACAGGATACACACACTGTGGGATATTTTTGATGTAAATAAGCATTCAGCTTTCTATGTTGGTAATATGTGTCACAATTAGTGAGTCTATGTAAATAGCTTCAACTTTTACTTCTAATGTAGATTAATCTAAAATACATTGGATATCAAAGCTCTCTTTGTCTATTCCTTATTTAAATCTATAATCTATTGGCCTATTTGTAATATCTATAATCTATTAATTCTGAACTAACTCAGACCTTCTTCTTGACTTCTGTTTCCTCAATCACCCAGGCTCAAAATCTGTGTCATTGCTGAATCATCCCTCTTTCTTTCTTCCCACTGCAAATGTTCTACTCCTGTAGTGTCTCTTATTCCTAGCTCTTACTTTCTCTTCCTACTACTTCAACTGGACCAATGCTATAACCCTCCTAGCAGGCCTACCTGCCTCCAGTTTGTCCTCTCCTGCCATCATTGTTGATCATTATTAAACTCATTTCCTTAAAGTACAGGTTTAATCATGAGACTTACCAGGTCAAAAACCTTCTGTGGCTCCCCACTGTCTTTTGAATGAAATCTGAATTCTTTCACTTGCTGTCCAAGGTCTTCACAACCTGACCTGAAGTTTTCTTCCTTATCAATCTCGAATGAATCACTTAGATGTCTTTCCTAGCTTCTGCTCAGGCCCTTTTCTTCCTAGGAATGTTCAAGTCCCCCTTCAGTGGTAGTTGAATTCCAACCCTGTCTTTTCTGAATGTAGCCTTCGCTGGTTCCCACTCCACTAAAAGTTTTATTTATTTCTTCTCTAATTGTCCAAGCATATTGGTTCCCTATCATTTTACATACACTGCCTTGATATTGTTATGAACACACTCACCTCTCTTCCTTAAAATTGTGAAACCTTTTTAAGAACAGAGATCCTATTTTGGGATTCATTGTTACATCTTCCATGATGTCTAAAGTGCTATCTTAAGCCAAGTGCCTCTTTAATAAACTAATTTAAACTTATATCCAATTTTAGAATAAAATACTGAAATTATGGTTCATATTTACCCTTTACATCATTAATGAAAGCGGGAAATGTTGCTTAAGAAGCATGTAAGTCTCACATTCTATATAAAGATTTTCATTTTTAAAAAAATTTCATAAGCTATGATTTTTAAATTAATATTATTTTAGACTGACAAACCATAATTGTATACATTTATGGGGTACAATGTGATTATTTGATTATGTATAACTGTGGAATGATTATATCAAGCTAATTCACATCATTTTGTGGTAAGACATTTGAAATGTGCTCTCTTAGTTATTTTGAAATATATAATACATTGTTAGTGATGATAGTCACTGTGCTGTGCAACTGATCTAAAAATTTATTCCTCCTAATTGGGACTTTGTACCCTTTGACTCACAGTTTCTGATTCCCTCTCTCCCTACCCCCATCCCTCAGCCTCTGGCAGCTTTCATTTTACTCTCTACTTCTGAGAGTTTGACTTTTTAAGATTCCACTTTTAAGTGAGATCATGCAGTATTTTGCTTTCTGTGCTTAGCTTCTACATAGCATAATGTCTTTCAGGTTCATCAATGTTTTCATAAATGACAGAATCTCCTTCTTTTGTAACACTGAATATTATTCCATTGTGTATATATGAAGGGGCATCCCCTGAAACCAGAATTTATTGATAAGAAATTGTGTATTTATTCTTACATGTTTAAACTTCAATCACCTTTAAAGTACTCTCCATCTGATGCAATACACCTATCGAGATGCTTTTTCCACTGCTCAAAATGGTTTTTGCACTGGTCAATGTTGATGCCTTTTTTGTGCTTCTGATGTTTTTTGTTCCACCTCTTCCACATCAGCAAAACGTTTCTCTTTGAGAACTTTTTTCATCAGGAGAAACAAACAAACAAAAAAGTCACTCAGAGTGAGAGCAGTTGGATAGGGAGGGTGGAGCATAAGGGGCATGCCGCTTTTGGTCAAAAACTGCTGAACATTCAGTGTGGTTTGGGCAGGTGCATTGTTATCATAGAAGAACCAGTCACACGTTTGTCATGACTTGGGATGTTTATTTCCACAAATCATGATGAACACTTCTCATATCTTCCAGATAAAATCTTTGGTTGACCACTGGATCTGGAGGAATGAATTCTGAATGCATAATTTCTCTCACATCAAAGAAACAAATGATTATATTTTTCACATTTGACTTCACTTTTGGTACTTTTTTTGGGTCATGGGAAGTAACAGTTTTCCATTGGCTAGATTGCTGTTTCATTTTGGGGCGGTAACTGCAGCACCAAGATTCATCTCTGGTTATGACTTTGAAAAAAAAATTAGTGTCAGCCTCCAACTGCTCCTTCAAAGCCCGGCACACAGCCAAGTGATTGTCTCTTTGTTCAGGCATGAACAAGTGAGACTTGAATTTTGCTGATTCTCTTTTCATGCCCAAATTTTCAGATAAAATTTGCTGACAGGAATTCCATGACACCCTAGTCAACTCTACAAGTTCATCAATAGTCTAATGGTGGTCTTCCAAGAAGTCACGACGAATTCTTACCACATTTTCTTCAGTTTGACTGTTTGAAAGATTCCTGAAATAAGGTTGATTGTCATTTGACACATTTTACCTTGTTTAAAATGGGAAAACCATTTGTAAACTCGTGTTTTACTCAGAGCAGTCTTTGTAAGCTGTCTGTAGCATAACAATCGTTTCTGCCACATTTTTCCCCAAAAGAAAACAAAATTTCACTGCTGCATGTTGTTCATGTAAGTCACCCATGATGAAATGGCAAATGCGCTGAAAGAATCTCAAAAAAAAAAAAAAAAATTCACTGAAGCTGAGCACAGCCTCTCACAACAATACTAACTGGTACACTGACACTGATGGTTTCCTAGAACACTTACCTAGTGAGGGAAGCCTGTACTACAAGGGGCCTGTCCTCCAAAAGATTTCAGTTTTTTGGGGGGACCCCCCCTGTATACAGCATTTTCTTTATCCATTTATCTGTTGATGGACACTTAAGTTGATTCCATATCTTGGTTATTGTTGAACAGTGTTGCAATGAACACAGGAGTGCAGATGTCCCTTTGACATATTGGTTTCCATTACTTTGTGTATTTATACCCAGAGGTAGATCATATGATAATCCTATTTTTCATTTTTTGAGGAACCTCTCAACAGTTTTTCATAATAGCTATACTAATTTACTTTTCTATCTACAGTGTACAGTGTTCCTTTTGTCCACATCCTTGCTGAAATTTGGTATCTTTCATCTTTTTTTATAATAGCTGTTCTAACAGGTGTGAAGTGACATCTCATTGTGGGCTTTAATTTACATTTCCTTAATGATTAATGATGCTGTTTTTCCATGAGCCTGCTGGCCATTTGTATGTCTTATTTTGAGAAATGTCTGCTTAGCTCCTTTGCCCATTTTAAAATTGGTTTTTTCTTGCTATTGAGTCTTTGATTTCCTCATATATTTTGAATATTAACCCCTTATCAGATGCAGAATTTTGCATGTATTTTCTCCTGCTTTATAGGTAGTCTCGCTAATTTGTTAATTTTTTTCCTTGCTGTGTAGAAACTTTTTAGTTTGATATAATCTCATTTGTGTATTTTTGCTTCTGCTTTTGGGTTGATAGCCAAAAAACCATTGCTCAGACCAATGTCCTGGAGCATTTCCACTATGTTTTCTTCTAGTAGTTTTGGGTCTTATATGTAAGTCTTTTATCTATTTTGAGTTGATTTTTTGTACACGGTGTGAGATAAAGATAAAATTTTATTATCCTGCATGTGGATATTCAGTTTACCCAACTCCATTTATTGAAGAGACTTTTCTTTCTTCCATGTGTGTTCTTGGTACCTTTATTAAAAAAATCAGTTGATCACAAATTCACAGGTTTATTTCTGAGTTTTCTATCCTGT